GTGATGTCGGCACCATTGTGTTCGTCATGATCGAGCTGGCACGACCTGTATCGTTCTCATATTCACTCTCCAATCGTAACAACTACCTATACAGCAGGGATTGGCAAATGGCGGGGTACACCCTTTGGGAGGTAATGAAGGTCTCTGGAAACCTCATCCCTCATCTCTTTAGCATTAGTGGCTCTCCTTATGGAACAGGTTTCTTGACTGGTCTGTTTCACCCCAGAATTCAAAGACCAGTCAAGGTAAAACCGAGCGCACCACAGTGAGCACAATTTGATAAGCTGGGTTATCTCAATTTTCATGTAGAACCTTTCACGTCTCACGTACCTAAAACCCTTTCGTGCACTCATGCAAAAGCAACTGCCATGTTTCAACAGCTGGTAATGGCATTTTCACAGCCGCTGACGTAAGAAGGGGAGGGGTGGGGGGCTCGATTAGACCCCCAGCCGTTCGGCCGCCGACCGAACTTAGTTTTGCAGAAAAAAACGAGTGCTATCGAACCCCTTGACGAGAGGGAGCCGATGCTATCCAATTATATGGTCTTGTGCTACTGCGTGCTTTTTTGGTCCTGCCTGTGATCTATCCGAACACTTCTCCCCACAAGTGCTGGGGTTAAATGGCATAGATTTCAAATGGTTCCTGTGGTAGAACTGCCATGCTTGAATTTGACTTATTAGGAATGGAAAATATCCATATAGTAACGGAAATCTATGGAATTTCAGTGAACTTGATTTTGTCGGCAATGGGGTCTGGCAGTGGGGTGGGGAGGTAATAACCCTGCCTGGCGCCCCAAAAAGGGGGGGGGCACGATCCCCGAGGCCCTGCCGATTACCTTATAACTACAGGCATCACAGCTCCACACCTTTTGCAGATGGCCAGGACCCCCTGCGATACATCCCAACAGCAATCTTATTCAGAATCTGCCTTGATTAACCAACGATGCATTAAATGCGACGGATAACTCTACAATGCATTATTATCAACAACTGAACGGGCCTCGCCGACAGGGGGGTACTGTACCCCCCTAACTTTCGATAGCGGGGGACCTGTCCCCCCCGTCCCCCCCGGTGGCGCCGCCCATGGTCATGTGATGACTGGTGCCCCTGCTAAGCCGCTGGTGCCCCTGGAAAGACTGTGGTACACTCGGGGGCAGATTGATGTTCTACAACTCTTTATCCACCGGGTTCCTATGGCTCAGCATTGGCAGCAGCCGCCTGGTACGGGTAGACTGTGCCGCTTCACTTACTTGTCAAGCGGCACAGCCTACCCACCCGTATGACACCGGTCTGGGTCGGTGGCTGGAAGGTGATGTGGGCCGCCTGTGACGTCAGCGCAGCGGTGAGGGCCGAGCCCGGAGGCATGGCTCGGGTCGGCGCGGCGCGGCGGCTGGCGAGGGCTGGGGAGTGAGGTGGGGTGGGAGCACGGACATCGCGCGGCTGAGCGAGTGTAGTTAACTTTCGCGTCTCAAGGCGCCAATTATTCTACCTAACAATTGTGCTAAAGCAGTTGTTAAAATGTCCTATCCCCAAGACAGCGCCTATCATCATACTTGCAATGCACATTACGACACACTTAAGCGTGGCAATGGGACAGCCGATAGAACTTATGTCACTCGTGCATCGAGGTGCGGAGCTATATTTTGTATAACACATTAGTATTAAGGCCTTGATTGAGCAGATTGGTCTCTATTGTTTCGCACGGCAATCGTCCAGAGACGTGGGAACTGGGGTTATGAGTAGTGCCGCAGCCAACGCCCCAATTTAAAGCGATTATTACTGTTGCTCTAATATGTGGTCGCAGCCCCCAATAGCAAACCGTTCCAACTAGGAGCCAAAAGGTCGGCCACTCAGGGGGGTTCGAACCGGGCTTCTGCCACCGGCCAATTCACGACACGAGCGTTCACCCACTGAGCTACCGAGAATGGTCCTCGTCTGCACAAAACAAAATGACATTCACCCGCTGACCGCCAATGACAGTATTGTGACATTTGATCGCGTTTGACCGCGGAGAGTGGTCGCTGGTTTCGGCAGCTCAGTGGATACACGCTAGCGTCGTAGGGTGACCGGTTGGAGAAACCCGGTTCGAACCGTCCCAGGTGCGCGACTTATTTGTTCCTAGATGGAACGGTTTGCTATTGGTGGCTGCGACCACACATTAGAGGAACAGTAAGAGTTGCTTAAAGTTGGGACGCCGCGCTATCCAAAACCCCAGTTCCCACGGCTCTGGACGATTGCTGTGCAAAATAATAGACACCAATGAGCTCAATTAAGGCCTTAATACTTATCTGTTAAAAACAATGTAGCTCCGCAACTCGATGCACGTGTGATATAAATTCTATCGGCTGTCCCAATGCCACGTTTAAGTGTGTCGTAATGTGCATGGCAAGTATGATGATAGGTGCTGTCTTGGGGATAGGACATTTTAACAACTGCTTAAGCACAATTGTTAGGTAGAATAATTGGCGCCTTGAGACGCGAAAGTTAACTACACTCGCTCAGCCGCGCAATGGTCCGTGCTCCCACCCCACCTCACTCCCCAGCCCTCGCCAGCCGCCGCGCCGCGCCGACCCGAGCCATGCCTCCGGGCTCGGCCCTCACCGCTGCGCTGACGTCACAGGCGGCCCACATCGCCTTCCAGCCACCGACCCAGACCGGTGGCATACGGTGTGGGTAGGCTGTGCCGCTTGACAAGTAAGTGAAGCGGCACAGTCTACCGGTACCAGGCGGCTGCTGCCAATGCTGAGCCATAGGAACCCGGTGGATAAAGAGTTGTAGAACATCAATCTGCCCCCGAGTGTACCTACCTACCCTGCCCCCTGACAAGCCTACGGTGGGCCCTGACATGACTTAGGTGCCCATGGGCCCTGACAGGCCCGTGGTGCCCCTGACAGGCCTGTGGTGTCCTTGCTAGGCATGTGGTGTCCCTGGGCCTTGGCAGGTTTGTGGTGCCCCTGTTAGAACGTAGGTGCCCTTGACAGGTTTGTGGTGCCTCTGACAATCCTAAATTGCCAACGACAGGCTTGTGGTGCCCTTGACAGGCCCATGGTGCCCTTGAGAAGCCGGTGGTTCCCCTGCGAAGCCGATAGTGTCCCTGACAGGCCTCTGGTGCCCCTGGCAGGTCTGTGGTGCCCCTGGAAGACCTGTAGTGCTTTTGCTAGGCCGATGGTGCTCCTGACAGGCCTGTGGTGCCCCTGCTAGGCCTTTGGCACCCCTGGCGGGCCTGTGGTGCCCCTGTCGGCTGTCAGGCCTGTGGTGCTCCTGGCAGGCATGTGGTGACCCCAGGCCCTAAGTCATGACACATGTGACCTCCACCCTGGGATTCGCCACTGATTAGTACTGCGATGGCTTCTTGGGAATTATACATGTAGGATAAATGGAATTTATCAAACGACAATAAGGAAGAGACAAACACATAGGTACTTGAGGATCAGCTTAAAGTTAACCACACATACGGGCAGGGGTGTAATTTTCCTAAAATGATTGTGGGTGCCCAGCTGTAGGGGCGCCCGGCGCCAGGCCGTTTTGGGGCGCGATAGATATTCTTTATGTGGGAGCCTAAATTAACACCGAATTTGATAACATTGCTAGCCGAATGGCGCTTCAAGTGACGTGTCTGACTAAGCAAATACACGCTTAAAAGTGGAAACTGACCGGAAGGACGTAAAAAATATGTAGAGAGGCGCCATCCAGTAGGAGGGGCACCAAATGTGGAGGCGCCAGACGGTTACGACTTACGAGGGCGCCGTGAGACGATGAAAAGGGCGCCATTCTCTTAGGAGGGCGCCGAGTGATTGAAAACGCTATGTGGTCTAGGGGCGCTAAGAGGCCAGAAGGGCGCCGCACAGTCAGTAGTGCTACGTTGGTGGGGACGTGGGGGCGCCAGATGGTTACGAGGGCGCCTTGAGATCATGAAAAGGGCGCCATTCTCGTAAAAGGGTGCCGAGTGATTGAAAACGCTATATGTGGTTCAGGGGCGCTGAGAGGCCAGAAGGGCGCCGAATAGTCGAGGGATGCACGGTGAACAGAGACCTAAGGACGCGAGACGGTCAGGAGGGCGCCGTTAGACCATGAGAATGGCGCGGTGCTGTCAAAAGTGCGCCATTCTCCCAGAAGGGCGCCGAGTGATGATTAAAAACGCTATCCATGCTCGGGGTTACATGAGCAGAGTTAATACGCATTACAAACGGACTACAATGGTGAGCGAATAGGAAAATCCGTTCCTGATACGCATTTACTTGCTCATGTAACCCCGGTACATGAACGCGAGACGGTTAGGAGGACGCCGTTAGAGCATGCGAAGGGCACCGTGCTCTCGAAAGGACGCTTGCAGCCTTGTAAAAGACTTGTGGGTGCTTTTTCATCATTGTGGGGGCATAATTCAGGATTGTGGGTGCATATGCCCCCACAAAGAGATATAAAATTAGGTACACCCCTGCATACGGGGGTGAACTGCAATTTTCGTTTAGTAAAAAAAAAAAAAATCATCGTGTCAGGGCTGTGACGAAAAATAAGTGGCCTAAATCCGATGAGAAAACAGGATTTGGGGGTACCCTAGGTTTGGCTCCTTGAGCCATGGTGCCCCCCCTTGTCTCAAATCGTTCCGCCGCCTATGGCCCAACCCCATAAAGCAGAAATATGTCGTGTCAGCGGTGATTACACGCAAAAATTCTTTGGCATATAGCATAAAAACCAGAACACCTTTGACTGCAGCGACTATGCGGTACTACAGAAAATTGTATGGCCTACCTAATGGTGCCCATTACTTAATAATTAAGCTGAGTATTTCGTCGCCTAACTCTTGTAAAACCGTATGTCCGCTTGTCTATGGAGTTTGGACCGTAACGCCCCATGGACCTGACCCCGTCCCCGTCCCCTCTCGGCAGCTGCGCCAGCCGCCAGCAGCTGACCGTGGTGCTGTACCTGAACCCGTCTGCGAATGGTCTGCGACCCTTTCCCACTGTCTCTGAGTTCTGACATATCCCCGTCCCCACTCGGCAGCTGCGGCAGCTGACCGTGGTGCTGTACCTGGACCCGTCCGACCCGGACACCGTCATCGAGTCCTACACGTTCCGCTTCACCTACTCGTCGTCCGGCGGCGTCAGCATGCAGCACGGCTCCGACGGCGACGGGTCAGTGGGGGGGGGGGGAGGGGGTCGACATCCCGACCTACCCAGCCCGGCCCGGCCTGGCTCAACCCGCCCTATCCATAGCTCTCGATCTCACCCGATTCGACCCAGCGGTCCTAGGCTGACTCAACCACCCTGACATCACCTAAGGTCATTTTGCTAGGTCTGATCCTGCCCAACCCGACCTAACCTGACCCACCTTTCTGGGACGGACCCGAACTCGTTTGGTCTGGCTCACCCGATTCGGCCCGTTTCTCGTCATCCTTCGGCTGACAATGGAAGACTAGCATTTCTAGCTGAAACTGGATAGAAGAAATAGCCAACAGAAGTCGACAGAATTTGTAAATAAAACGTTATTTTTCCTGACGTTTTACCAGCCTCCCTATGCTCACTAGCATTAGTTTTCTACTTGACAGAGAAGTATGATATGCTAGCTGGCCTATTTTACTTTATTCGTTAAAGGTCTCAAAAGAAATATAGAATTTATATCACAAACTTACCGCCGATTAACCCTCGCCCGCACATGGGGGGGGGGGTGGTTGCCACCCCCCCCCCCCCCGGCAGTCTTTCTGCTCTGCACTCAACATTTTTAGAGCTAGAAGGCTGATTTTTCGTATAGCTGCTCCTCTATCCTTTCTTGATGTCCACTGAAAATTTCAAGTTTCTGTGATTTTTGGTTTCGGAGATATGACCTTGTTTTTCAGGTCATGTCATGACCCAAATGGCCAATTCTCAACATCTTGCGTTTGCCATGGGCCTTGTGAGCTTTTGACACCCTGATTTCGGCCTTTTTTGCCAGTCTTACCTCCCACCTATCATGGAACATGTTGTTCGACGATGTACAGGGGTCAAGGTCAGGGTCAAGGTCAACCTAGGTCATCTAAGATAATTGCGTTTTAGGCAAGTTGAATTTACTTTTTGTGAAGTTTTTTGACTGCATTTTTGGTAAAAGCTTCTCAGATCATGATTTCATGTGATATGGACCCAAAAACAATCGGTGCACACATCAGTATACACACAGACACACACAGACATACAAACACATATAATTGACCTTGACCTAGCTTGACCTGAAATGACCTCAGCAGCAAAATTCTGGTCGGATAGTGTGACAAAGAGGTTCTAGCTGGCTTGGTACCAGAAAACAGCATCGTCATCGGTATTTGATAAGCAGCGCACTTGATATCCAACGGTGACCCAAAACAGCAACATTTTTTAGTTTGACCTGACCTGGAAGGTCAATGACTGACCTGAGAAGGTAAAACTGGGTATCATTGGATTCGTCTCTTCCCAAAAAATATTTTTGGTCTTTACTGCTAAGCTCTATCTCCAACAGGAACGAAATGGCGCGGGGGGGTGGCACCCCCCCCCCCATGCGCGTTCTAGGATGGGAAAATGGCATGTGCGCCGTGCGGGCGAGGGTTAATATTGCCTCTCTGTTTCACCGTTGTTTTGTAATTGCGCGGTGGTCTCCGTTCTGGGCTCGCAGCAGTTGCCTAGCCATCTGGGTTGTTTGCGGCCGTTCTCGTTACCTATTCCCCCGCTCAGCCCGCCGTCGTATACGGTCGAGCGGAGTTAAATGCGCGGGCCGATTGGATTATGTGTGCCGGTCGGCCTGACGGCGCGTCACTGCAGCGCTGTCGGCGGCCGGTGGCCCCCGGGGCACTGCGGCGCACGATTCGGTGGGACGGCACGGGGCTGACGGAACTGGCAGCTGCCCGGACTCGGAGGCTGCCTGCGTCTCTGCGCAATTATGTGTGTGTGGCTGTGTGTGTAATTACTGTGGATTGCTCCTTAAGGCCCGGGGCAATGTAGAAGGCCCAGCTAGGACAGTGAATAATAGCTGGGGGCGATTTATGGGCTAAAGACTGTTTATGAGGTTAGGGTCTGTTTATGGCGAGTGGGATTATCTCTGGGTGTCAGGAATTGTGTATGGGGAACCTCGAGACATCATGCGTCTATGAAGATACGAAGCTATGCATGGAAGTTAGGGATGGAATCCAAAATAGAACTAGACCCGACATGTAAAAGATTTTTTGAAATTAAAAACACGATTACGTTTAAAGATAGGAAGTTGAAAAATGAGGTCCATTTCTAACACTTTCTCCACTTTCTAAGAGCTGTTCTGTGTATTCCTACATACGTAGACGGTAGATGGCTAAAAGCAGTAACTCTACCAAAATAATTACGCGTTAAGTGCAGCGAAGCCATAAAATATACCAGCTTGTGCGTCATGATACAACCGAGCAGAGCGAATCGCTTATTCTGGTGGCATTTTCGAACAAGGTATGTAGAAAGGATATACAGAATAAAAAAGTTAGGTTCTTGGGAGAAGTGCGCAGCTTTGAAAGGTCATATATTTGAAATACCTATTTGGATTTGATTCTGCATGTAAGTACGTTGCATTGGACTGCCAGCTTATTAGAAGCACCAAAAGCAGAAACACTCTGTGACTGGTAAAAAGTGGAAATGCCCTTTGAAGGGGACATATATTTGACCTTTTACAGTTGATAAATACAATGGTGCAATACAAAATCAAATAGCACTGATTATGCAGATCTTGATTCCTAGGCCGTGGTCGTATTCAAACACATGCTCATCTCGATTAACTGTGACATTTACTGGCTTCATTTCTTGGTTAGGGCCTTTAATTAACTGTTCGGTAATTGCATTGATTGTGGCCATCATCCATGTGATGAAATGGTCTCGTAATTAGATACTTCCTTAGAACTTGTAAATTGGATGTACATTGTACACATTTATGTGTACTACCTTCCAGCCTTCATCTATGGGAATTTGAATCCAGCATTGATATTGATCAATCAGCTCACCAACAGTGAAAAAAGAGCAAAATAAGGCCCGATGCAGCACACAACTCCGCCGTTTATCCTGTAAATACCTCACCGTCTCGCCCCGCCCGCGGTGCTGACAGACAGCCAGCCTCGATACCGGCGACCGTCACCAGCGAGGAGACCTACAAAGCCACCGTGCGAATGCTGCGCACTATCGTGGTGCTAACGCAGACGCTGCGACCACTGCCCGACGACGTCATGATGTCCATGAAGCTGCTCTACTTTGACGATGGTGAGTGGAATGGGAAGGGATAGGATAGGGCTAGGGTTGGGATGGGACGGGTCTGCGCTGGCTGGGATGTTGCTGGTTTCGTGATGGTTTGCGCCGTCTTGGGCCAAGTTATGTGACAATGTGAGTGGAGTGAGACGGCTGCCGTTCAGGGCTGACGGCGATCTACGCTGACTTCGCCCAGGGTCTGGTCTCCGCCAGTCTCCCAGCCGACCCTCTGGAAGAGTCTTTGTTCTTGGCTTTCCCCAGGATGGTTGTCTGATCACCTGAGCCGGCGTCCGTTACTGCTATCGGAAATGAGGTGACGATCAGCCGCGCGGATTTTGAGTGGCCTTGAGCTGAGCACAGCTGGCACTCTAGGGGGTAATTTACCTGCCATCGGTGCCTTGCTGCAGAGGGACGATTCGTAATCCATGGCCGTTGCCTTTATTGCCGCTTCTTTTATTGCTTCAGGCTTCGGGAGTTATCTTTGAGAGAAATAGGTGTGCCAATGGTTTGGTGTTCTCACTTCACACCTCCCCAACGGGCCCCCTGAAAGATGCCTCAGCCGTGTCTCGCTCAACTTCCAAATGTCTTGAAGGCTGGAAGCAAGGAAGGTTTAATTCCATTATGCACTTTTAATTGGTCGCAACAGGATGCTGGATGTGAAAATTATGAAATAAGTATGCAGCTTTGTAGTAAGTGGATCCAATTCCAGTGTTTGTCTCCACTGAAGTTCTTCCGTGACTAGATTCGTAATTTGCACTTTACAGAGCTTATTCTAAGCTCGGCAAGCGCCATTCCCTATACCGCTCTGATGGCCCGATGTTTGCACGCACTTGCGATATCAGGACACCGTGCCATGTAATCTCCGGGCATGCATCTGGACCTGCATTACTTAGTCATAGCATGCACTTAGGAATGGTTCCCGAGGACCGATGCGGGACGCCGATGTGACATTCGGAGAACGGCGGGCCTTCCCGCGCGGTGCTCGGAGGAGACGGCGTCGAGCGGCGGAACGGTACGCCGGGGGGCTGTTGGCCGGCCGGCTACCGTCTCCGCCCACTAGAGGCGCTCCAGGGCAGAGTACGGCGTCGTCACCACGGGACAGACGCTTCCGGCCCAGCCGAGTGTCAGGCGGTCAGAACTCTAATTCACTCTGCCGTTGTCAGCGGCGTATCTCATCTGGACGCACGCATGCCAGGGGGTTGATATATGCATTCGCGGAACGGTTCAACTTATTCCTTCGTTCCCGACTCAAATAGGAGTCGGCCGGCTATCTTGCCGTGCCGACCGCCGATTCCGCCGTTAAATGTTAATGGTCTCTGTATCGCTGAGTCTTCGCCGGCGGACTGGGAGCTGAACGGGCGGGCCCAGGGCCGGCACATACCCACCGAGCAGCCGTGTTGGTGGCGGCACGTACCGTGCCCGGGCCGGGGCGGCTACTATCGGCTGGCCTGCCACCATTTCCACTCGCCTCGGGCCGAGCCGGCGGCATATCTGCATGCGATTAGCGCCGGGTCGCGGCCAGAATTGCAGATCATCCCGCGTCGCCGCTGGGGAGCCGACAACGCCACCAGCACAGCTCGAAACAGCTCTCTGGTGACTCCCGGCCGTGGCGACGGGCTGGTTTTGGTCTGGGCGGCACAGCAACGACGCAGTCCAGTCCAACACTGTCCCAGCAGATCCGGCTGCATATACGGCACTGATGAGCGTTGAGCGCCCCCGGTGTAGAGGGGAGATGCGTGTTTTCGGACTAATGAGTACAGCCAATCGGCCGTAACTCAAGTTTCAAGTGTTTTGACAGTGATCGGCAGTCGGCACTGACGCACTGGTCTGATTGGTAACAGGCACACTGTTCTGGCATGATATTTGTATGCATCAATGTGAGAACTTCACAGCGATATTATTCCATTGTCTGTGAATTTCTTATTGATTTCCTTTGGGGGAGTGGGATAACAGCTGGTCCCGTACTTTTTATAAGATTGACATATTTATACCTATATGTAATGTAATTCTGTGCGGATCTGGGATAATACCTTAACCGCCTCCCTCACGGCAATGTTCTTCCTATGACCCGTCATGCCCCCCCCCCCCCGTATCCCTGCAGTGACGCCGCCCGACTACGAGCCGCCGGGCTTCCGGCCGGCCGAGACCCATCAGATCTTCTTCAGTTCCGAGCCCATCAACGTGCGCGTGGGTGACGTGTGCACTCCGCACCACACGGTCAAACTGCGCCTCAAGACCGACTCAAGTCAGTTCGTGCCGCAGGAGGGCGACGACGAGACCATCGAACATGCAACGGTAAGGCGGGAGAAGTGGCGAGACCACTTAGCAGGATAGCTGTGGTCAAACAGACCTGGATAAAAACGTCCATGGTTAACCAAGGGTTATGACATTTAATTGAGGTGCGGATAGGGTGGTGTACTGGTGGTGTCATAGTGGATATTTTGCCCCCGAACGGCAAAGTTTACTGGACAATAGCTGTGGTGCCTGGTTATGTTATTGCCCCTTGTTGTTTTATTCAACGTTGTTTTGTTGAACATTCAGAACATGCTATCTAGACTTCACCCTCCTAACGCTTTCTAACCGACTATGTGCCGTCCAGGTGAAAACCGCTCCGTCTGTGGAGGGCGCAGTACCTCGTGAGCGGGACCAGGAGCGCCCCTCCACCTCCAGCCAGCAGCGTCAGCCGAGGCCCAGGGAGCCGGCCGCCGCCGCGGAGCCGGAGCCCAGTCTGGCCGAGAGTGTGAGCGGCAGGAGCCCCGGCCTGCCCGGTGAGTAACCCGTCCGCCCATTGTGGCCGCAGCCCCGCCGGAAGCGATCCCAGTCTCCTCAGCGGCGATCATGTGCTGCGATGGAGTTATATAGCATCCCATCGAGCTCCCGTGAACGACTTTAGTCGCCCTAATATCGTTAAATCACGGGATTCGGCAGTGGCTGGTGCTATTTCGATGGCGCCGCTGTTAATTTGTGTCATTTATGGTCGGAGCGTGCCCCAAGTATCGATTGACCCCCCATTGGGGCCGGATGGCCCGTTTTTCCGTGTCGTGACCGCCGGCTGTTTGTAGCGCCGCGGTCACGAGCGCGATTTGTGGGCGAGCCGCCGGCAGAATCGGGGCTCGTTCCCGCTATCGATGCTGCTCCGTGGCCGTTAGCCAGCGCGCAAACTATTGGAGAGCACATTTGGGAGCCGTGGCCGCCCCTTCCCCCTCCCCCGACCACCGGTCAGCGGAGGCGGCTCGGAGCGGCGCTGCGCCGCGCGGTCCGCCGATCGGTCGCCGGGAGCGAGTGTCGCCCCGAGCCGGCACTGTGCGCCGTCTGCCCGTCCTCCGGGAACACCTGGAATAGCCCGCCGGCGACCTCATTAGCGGAGATTGTGCGCCGCCGGCGGTGACCACTGTCCGGCACGGGCCGTAATCTCGCGCGCGGCGCCTCCGGCCGCTCCGGCAAAAACGCCCCGCAGAGTGGAGGGTCCCACCTGCGGGACGTTCTCTGGAAGATTAGGTGGGACTGTCTGTTTTGTCGTGCCTGTCGCGCAGTCTGGCGTCTTATGGGTGCTTTCAGGGGCTGCATGTGCGTTTTATGGCTTCTCTTTGGGTCTTCGAGATGTGTTCCGATGTTCTAGATCAATATTTACGCGAAAAGAGTCGCGATGGAGTTGTAATGAAGTACATAAGTAGATAAGATCGTAAGTATATTTAACTGCACTGCAATGCAATATATTGATGACACTGAACGAAGCCGGCTGCAACTCAATTTGAATATTAACTTTGGGTTAATGCGTGTGAAAATGAAAAAGCTTTGAACATTTATTTCATGTCTCAGTTGCAATCTCCCCACGCTGCAATCTCGAGTCTCTTCCACCGACCTTTGGCTGATACTCCCACTCGTACACCAGCCTCCAGTCCGCCTCTCCCAGCCACCCCGTCCCACCCCTCGGCCCGACAGCCCGCCGGGGGCCGGTCGGCCCGCCGACCAGCGCAGTCGTTTTTCCGCCGTCGGCCCGGCGCTGCTGATTGTTGTAATTTTCCGTGGCACCGTAAAGGCCGCCCGGGAGGCAGCGAAAAACGAGCTGCGGTCCCGCCGGGATGAAAGTGAAATCAGCCGACAGCGCTGCTGCCGCAGCGACAATGGGACGAAGGCTTCGGAGACGGCCGGCGGCGAGTCGCTCGGGTAAACAGCTCTCGGGGCTGCCGGCGGGCGGCGGCGGCCGCAGCTGTGGCCCGCCGGCGCGTGGCCCGCCGGTAAACTTGCAGTCGAATTCTGTCAGCGTCTCGGCGCCGGATGGATTCAGGGAAGCACCGAGTGGTCGGGTGCGGCACGGCGGTGGGACCACGGAGTTCTGTTTGCTGGGACGTGAAAAGCTGAGCCGGCGGCGCTGAGAGTCTGGTGCCCTGGGGACCGTCCCCAAGGTCTGTTTGAACAGTCAGACCATGCCACCTGGAGACACCCAGCATGACTAGTGTAGGTGGGTCGGTGTCTGGGCTCATCAATAGTGACCGACATCAAAGCCAGACTGCCGTCATCAGTAATTTGTCACTCATGTATTCATCCATGCATTCGGGAATTCCTTTTCAATTGAAGAGCACTTTACTTGACTCGTCATGCCGCTGCATATTATGATCGCTCCTGAATATCGCTGCCTTCTGGTGTCACGGGGGTTATCTCTGAATGGGCTTAATCCCGATCCAACGAAGTGGACTTGCTGAGCGACTCGTGAAATCCCCTCAAAAGGCTCGCCGTCGCGGTGCAGTCAGAGAACTAGGAGCCTCATGTGGCGGCCGGTCACGGGTCCACACCAGGTCTGATTGAGGCCCGCGGCGCTGATTTCAGCGAGGGTTTTTGCCACAGCGGCACCCTGATTGGCTCTTTGTCATTCTCGACGGTGGGCTGATTGGTGGAGCAGCGGCCCGCGGATGGGGACCGCTCCAGCGTCCACTGCGCCAGGGAAACGGACGTTTAGAGGGCTTCTCTGCAAGAATAATTAGGCACTGCGTTTTCTATAGCATACATTACATTTCCTATGCGATTTACGTTTTGACAGTTTATATTCATTTTTTTATCAAATTTGTACCATAGAAACCACATGTATCGAGATCAAAAACCATAATGAAGTGCGATGATATCACCCGGCCTTAAAAATCAATTTCACGTATTCCCCCATAATCCCCCTGACTGCGTCCTCTCCTCTCCGGTCCTCTCACAGCGTCTGCGGTAGACACCAGCGGCACGCCGGCCGCCGGCGCGGTGCCTGAAGCCGAGGACGAGCCTCGCGTACTGTGTGTGTGCGGTGTGCACGAGGACGACGGCCTGATGGTGCTCTGTGAGCTCTGCCACAACTGGCAGCATGGGGTGAGTGAGCCAACGGGCGCTTCTGCTCGGGGGACTGACGGCCGAGCAAAGAGATGATTGCCTTTCCTTTTCCCATAATTATCATCTCTCTGGGTCTCATGACGCAACGGCCTAGACTTCCACCCCCTCTTAGCTGCTCGACTGTATTACTATGCATTTCTACAATCACGCCGAGCCGCAATTGCTGCTCCTTTCCACTCCCGTCATCGATATGTCTCTTTCCTCGCATTCTCTCGTGGTCTAACCTGAACTGGCCCGTTTCATGTGTCCCAGATCTGTTTCCTGGTGCTGAGTGAGGACGAGGCGCCGGCCAGCCACATTTGTGACACGTGCGCTCTGGCCTCGGGACGACCGTGCACGGATGCCCGGCTGCCGGCGCTCGCCAGGTCCACACGTATGGTAAGTGATCTCTACATATACATAGCAGGCTCACGACGTAGTGAGCCCTCCCCTTCAGTAGGTTCAAACGCATTAGGGTTGATTTCTTTTTTCACGCAGAACATAGGTGTCTAATACGTGCTGCAGTAGTCCCTTCGCAGGTCTGTATGAATCGTCTTGCTAGCGCAGTGCGACTTGTACGCAATTTGCGTATGGCCGTACATTTGATATATGTGAGGCCTGAGTGTCCCCGTTTTCACAGGCCACCTGTCTGTACCGTCGCGGCCTGTGCGCCTGTGAGGAGATGTCTCGCGTTCAGCCGGCTCGGCTGGCACAGCGTCTCGGCGTGGACGTTGCCGTGGCCTCCGGTCTGATGAGCCGATTGGATAAGGACGGTCTGCTGAAGCCACTCTCCAACAGATCCAAGGGGTGAGTCGGTCAGCCAGTCGGACAGACAGAGTAGAGTGTCTCAATAGGGCATCTCACTGCAAAGCACCCTGGTACCGGTACTAAACACTGGTGGTCTGGTCGGTTACAGCTTTACACTACTACGCTGCAGTTGGTACCGTAAGATTGAGGAGTGCACTTCGCCTAGCTAGAAATTAAGTGTCAGTTTTAAATTATGTGTACCCGCTTCTATGGTATTTTTACAGTAGCGTAACGTTGTACAGTTGTGAATTGTACATCATATGTTGCATATTATTTATGTCATTTGCATCATGCAGCGCAGTGCATTGGGGTCACGTTGTGCTTTGTTTGCATATCGTGTGTTGCAGTGTGCTGGTACTTGGTAGTCACTGTTGGTCTTTGTGCGAGCTGTCTTTGCCGATTCTATGTTCCCGCGCGAAGCCAACTATGTAGATCGACGCGGCCGTCCGACGCTCAAATGAAGCGATCCTCTCTCCTCCCCCCACTATAACTCCCCTAACCCGTCCTGTCTTCCACTCCAGCACCGTTCGTGTGGTCGACAAGGAGCGACTGCTGAACGAGGCGTTCCCCCGCTACCTGAACCGGCCGGCCCCGGCCGCAGCGCACCGACCCGCCGGCGGTCACCAGGTAGGAAGACCAGCGCACCGTCACACACCAGACGGAGGTGGATTTAGTCGGACGAATCACTGACGTTCCAACCCATGTAAAGAAGGGGAACCCCGTATCATCGGGGAGTCAGCCGGCTGACGTATTGCTATGTGCCTTCGCTCCCGCGCGCGCTGTGTCCCAGCGGACGGCACTGCTGTCGAGCAGGTGCCAATACCTCGGGACCCTGGCCAGCGTCGTCCTCTCCCGACTCTATTAGTGGCCGATACCCTGGGGACGTGACCTCCCGCGAGTGTTCCACAGACCCTTCCCTCAATATCAGTCTCCAATATCAGAGTTTCGGGGAGTTCCCCGGTAAATAGATATCTGTTCGCGGAGTGCTGCTGCTTTATTGCGGTGCATCGTTCTCTTCCTGCGGTGGGTCAGCGGTTTCCGGTATTCCTCTCACGCCATTCCTTCCCTATTCTCTTGATGAATCGGGTCTCTATCGCGGCTGGCTGGACTTGGCGCAGGAATTCCCGACCCGGCAGTGCATGCCCTTGACTGGGCGCCTGGACTGACTCTTGACAGTCGTTACGGAAATTATGCGAAACTAGACCATGACCTGGGTGTTCTCACCCAGAGTTGGTTTGTCTTTATGTGACAATCTGCTGCAGCTGGGAGGCTAACCGTCCGACACCGCATTACCAGTCAGGAAACCATCAGACGAGTCTCACCCGCTGTATTACTTCGTGGACCCTTTTAACGACTTTTGGAAACGTCTCCCGGGGAAGTGTGCCGTCGACTGAACTCTGTGGAATAGCCCGGACTGCAATGCTGATTCCCCATGGACCAAATAGCTGGCATTTTGTGTGTTGCTACTCAGATGCGTGAAAAAAAGATTCTGCGGGTTTTATTAATGGTGCATCATCTCCTGAAATGCTTATCATTTTACGTCTATGTTTTGTAAGCGATGTGTCGTATTGCCGCATCATTTGACAACATTCGTTACGCAGCTGGTCGCGGTCTAGTGTATACTATTTTTCAAGCTTTTCTTTTCTTTTCTCCACCGCTCTGGCAGGCGGTGGACGAGATGGCCGAGCGGGCCGGCAGGATGGAACTGGACGGGCCGGAGGACGGCGACCACTCTCCGCCGGCCACACCGCGCACCGGCCCCGCCGGGGACGGGCCCGAGCCGCGCTCTGCCGGCAGGAAGAGGCGGGCCACGCCGCGCAGCCAGCCGGTCAGTGAGGGAGGGCGGGGAGCCGGGTAGACGGGCGCGTGCGGGGATAGATGAGGAGTGGGAGTTAAACATTTAATCGACCGCATTACCATCTCAAATTGAAGGCTTCTTAAAAAAAAACTGTTAACGTCAAATTAAAGTCAACAATCAACGTCGATTTATTTCTGACGTCGCTTTGTTCTCTAGCACATTTCCCCTCCAGTGGTGATACAAAAACAAAAAATTGTTCAGTTAAATTTATTGATTTCTTCTTCATTCTTCACATCTTTTCATCAACAAAGCCAAGCCATGTTTCGCCATGTCTTTCAATCTATCCGCAACCATCTTGATGTTTGGCTTCGTCCTGTTGTCTGTCCATCTCATTGCCTCAGGCTGTGTCCGCCGACGTTTTTTGCCTGCCTGTCCGCCATCTCATCTCTGCGGCTTGTGTGTTTGTGTGTGCTGTGGACCCCATCAGGTCGACTTGGCTTGATATGTCGCCACCAATCTGTCGAATAGCATAGCCCGCTGGTAACCCGATTTTGGTCGAAATGCCTGTGTGTGCGGTAGTTTTATGTGGTTCGGCGCGTGTATGTTGTGTGCAATACGGTGTGCTTACGAATGAGTCTGCGTGTGTAGTAGGTTCGGTATCTACCGTATGTTATGTGTGTTTGTGTGACGTGTGTGGTGGCGGCGTGCGCTTGTTCGTTACTGCAGTGGTGTATCCTGCGTGCTGTGCGTGCATGCGGTGCCGCTCCCGTGTGCGTGTGTGTGCGTGTGCATGCGATACCGTGCTGCGCTCGGGGGGGGGGGCAGGGGGTGCGGAGGAACCCCCTGGGCTGGTATCCAGGTGATGAGCTGGCCACGCCACCGGGCCATCTCTGCTCGGTGGTATAAACAGCAGACCGGACCGGCAGAGGCAGGGGGCTGGGACAGTGAGGTCGGGGGCAGGTGACTGGAAGTGGACACGGTTAGGTGTGGTGTGACCGGACAGTAACCGAACGAACTGGGAAATCGGCGCAGACAATGCACCTGCGCGGTTGACCGGGGATGTAGTTGTAGCATCAGGTGAAGTCATACTCATAACACCGAGGTACGTATTAAAATTCACAGACCGTGATCATAGCGGGAAAAGCATCGAAGTGAAATGTTAGAAGCACTCTTAGCTCATACCTATTGCTGGTTGCCACATGAGTGACTCGAATACAACAAACAGTGGGACGTTCAGGTCAGTATTTCCGTGATATTTTCAACGATCGTACAACAAAAACTCCATCTGACATTGATGAACATGTTTGGGGACAACTCGATGTTAGCTGTCGAGCGCTAGTTTTGTTTGGCCAGAGCCGGAGACACGGTAGTCAAAGCACGCATCGACAGATACCGGTGCCGTTCAGCAGAAGTAAGAAAGTGAGTGAGTGAGAAGAGAAGAAAAAGAGTCAGGGTGAGATGAGGGAGCGAGCAAAGAGTTATGAGCTGATGGTTGAAGTGGCATTCGGAAGACGGTCCTGAGAGACTGCTAGGTTGGTCTAATGAGTGGAGAAATCGTGGACAGTCAGTACGATGAAGGTTTACTTGGCGGAGAAATGGGGCAGCTAGCCCGGCCGTCGTGCCAGGTTGTCCCGAGCGTGAGATGCTCAGCCTGAGGAGGCTGTATACGTACCACTCTGGACGAGACAGAGCGTATAATCGATACGACCGGAGCGCAGCTGGCGTGACCCAATGATGAGCTGTTGTTACCCGTTGTGTGGCGATCAGATGCTAGACGACAAACAGCTGCTTGATGGCAAATAGAGAAGCGTTTTCAAGGTTAGCATGACTAGCTAGAAACATAACACTAAACGCTAAGTAAATTTTAAAGACTTAGAGACATGTTAGTGTGGAGAGCAAATAGATATTATAGGATTAAATTGGACTAACTCCACAAGAGAATCGTTTTCGGTCGGAGCTTTCGACATGTATTACATGTCCTCTTCAGCGAAGGTCGGTAATCGGGGCGAAAATAAAACGCAAGTCATGTCCTCGCAAGTATGTCCTCGAACGCAAGGCTCAGAGAATTTACCAGCATGAATTGAGAAAGGCTGAGACAACCAAGGCTAAGAAATTCCACGACCTGCTAAGCGAGAATGGTGGACTGACCTTCACCAACAGGAATCCAACACGCCCCAGTACAACAGGGGTGACAGTGATCAACCTCACAAGCCAGCGACTCTCCAGAGAAGATACACTCGCGCTACAGCTTGGAGCGAAGTACTCGATAGCTCCTCAAAAACCACCTGTCTTGGAGCTAGCCGTGAAGAGCCAGATGGCCTCTGACATCGCCATCAAACAAGCTGACCAGCGAGGCATCACCGGTGATGACATCACAACCTTTCTCAACAAAGCCGAGACAATTCTGACGCGTGCCAACAACCGACCACAGCCGAAGCCTCCAAAGGACCTCACTGACTCATTGAAGTCACTGACCAGAGACAACACCAGGGTGATCGTGCCAGCTGACAAGGCCAAGGCTCTGGTTGTGATCAACAAGACCGACTATACAGCTGCGCTGCTCCGTTCACTGCAGTCACCTGTGTATGAGGAAGTGACCAGCGATCCAGCGGAAGTCTTTTCCGGCAGGTTTAATGAGCACCTGCTCACTGCACTGGCTGGTCCTGCGGTGCGTGGAAGACGTCGCGACAAAATGCTGAAGGAGAACGACGCAGATGGGTACCAGCTCTACCGACGCCTCTCCAAAACGCATGGTCGCTGCGGTCCGTTTTATGGCCTCGTCAAAACACATAAATACACGGCTCCGCCAACCACCGAAGAGGAAAGACTCCACTGGATCGCCAACCTGAAGCTCCGGCCCATCTGCCCAGCCCACCGCGGTGCAGACTATGAGCTCACCAAACATCTCACTGCATGCTTGAAGGTTCTCCCGCGGCCGCCGCACTCCATCAGCTCTCCGCTGCAAGTCTTGGACATGCTGCAGAACATGGACCATTCCACCAACAGCTGCCGGCTCATCTCTCTGGATGTGGAGGCGATGTTTCCATCCATACCGACTCAGGAGGCCATCGCACTCATTCGGACTCTGCTGCAAGACAACCGAGATGCCCTCTCGGATGTCACCTGTCTGAAACCGGACGCAGTCGCTGACCTTCTGAGCCTATCCATCCAGAACTGTCATGCTGTGGTCCAAGATGGTGACAAGGAGAGATGGTTCAGGCAGACAGCAGGCCTAGCCATGGGCAAGAGTTATTCTCCAGTTGTCGCTGACCTATATATGGGTCACTGGGAACTCGATCTGGAGCTCTTGGCAGCCAGCTGCGGAGGCAGAGTCCAGTCATTCTGCAGGTATGCGGACGACTACTTAGTGTTGTTCGAGGGCAGCGATGACACTCTCAGTGCGTGGGTGAACCTGCTCAACGGCAAGAACCCTAACATCAAGGTCACCACTGACATTGAAGTTGACCGACAGCTGCCCTACCTCGACATCCTCATAACAAGAAAGGAAGACCGATTCAGCACTAAGGTCTACCGGAAAGCATGCAGCACTGATCAAGTACCGGCATTCTCATCATACACCGAGACCCGCTATCTCAGGTCGGCCATCAGATCGGACTGCATTCGAGCCATCCGCTACTGCACGACCATCAAAACCCGCCAGCAGGAGTTCGACTTCATACGCCGCAAGTTCCGTCAGCATGGCTACCCGCTCCCATTCATCGAGTCCACCATCCAGAAAGCGCAAGCGGATCTCAGACTGAAGGCCAGGGCTCTACCGTCACCACCAAGCTCGACCTCACCAGCTGCGCCTGTCAGAGTGTCAGTCCCGTTCGCTGGCTCCTGTTTTTACCAGCTCAAGCGGGAAGCCAGCAAGATCGGCATCCAGCTGGTCTCCAAGCCGTCGCTGACCATCGGATCATTGCTCTGCAGTAAAGCCAAGCACCACTTGCCGAAGCTGCAGGAGAGCAACGTGGTCTACAAGATCGAGTGCTCCTGCCAAGTTGACGGTGATCCTGTGGTCTACATCGGCGAGACAGACCGTGAGCTAGGAACCAGAGTCAGAGAACACCGGGAGAGCTGGACTGGAGCTGTTCGCTCGAGAGCCAACGCATCGGCCTTCAGTGCTCACAGGGATTGTTCACCTGCCTTCGATGAGGTCAAGGTACTAAATCGAGCCAACCACTACCAGATGCGACTGCTGCTCGAGTCGGCGTACATCCGGACTGTGGGACGGCGGGAGGCCGTCTTGGTGTCGCCTAATGATGCGAATGTGAACAGAAACTCAGGTGCGCTGCTGCAAGACCGCTGGCTGCCAATAATTCGTCGTGTTTGCCAGTAGTTTTATAGTGTTTTAAACATTTATATCGTGTGATAGTGTTTTTTATATTGATCTCTTTACACTTTTGTACCCCACCTGCTTTAGCATCTTTGTAGTTTTTAACTTTTGTGGTATTTATAGGTATGTATAACGTTTTATATTTCTGTACCGAGATAGTATGTATTGATTTCTATATTTTTTAGGATTTTATTAGTGTGGTATGCGTTCTTGTTTTTTGGTAGACTTTCTCATTGAGTGTACTCTTATTGTCGTCACGTGTTTCAGTCTTGCTTATTTTATAATTCAAGCGGCCTAAATAACTCTGCGCAGCTCACCGACATCTTGTGCGATTCGATTCGACCCGAACGTTTTATTTTCGCCCCGATTACCGACCTTCGCTGAAGAGGACATGTAATACATGTCGAAAGCTCCGACCGAAAACGATTCTCTTGTGGAGTTAGTCCAATTTAATCCTATAATATAAATTTTAAAGGTTACTGCAACAAACTTGTCTGTACCTATCTATCTAGATTCTAGAGTGATAGGAACAGTAAGTCAGTCTTGCCCCATATGCTCCGACTGGTGATTCCACTGCCCGGACGTTGTGTTCCCACGTGCCCATTGTTTCCGCTGTTCCCAGGACAAGGAGTTTGAGGTGGCCGACTCTCAGGAGTTCCGTCCGGAGACGGTCGGCGGACGCGCCAAGAAGTTCAAGGCCTCCCGCACGGACGGTATCGCTGCCTGAGACGGTGACCCACGGGCCCACGGCTCTCATCAGTCGTCTGCACACGGTCAGTCCTGCCGAGAAGGCTGGGGAAGAGTCTCTGAGAAAGCCAGAGTCAAGTGTTCCCCGAGACGACCAGAGGTGAATCTAGATAGAGGTACCGTGACTCGGACAGCGAGAGATGACTTGACTCTGGAGTCGTCCCCCGGTACGTCCAGACTCACCGGCTCGGCACTCGTTGGGGTGACCCCGATGTCCCTTTTCACATAGCTGTGATGGGTGACTGTGGATTGTGTCCCCGTTTAGCAGATTATCATAAGCTTGCTATGACACAGCCATATCGTTAGCTGTGACTCGCCAGTTGTGGAGTTCCGTTTGCTGACTGCGTTGAAGTCGAAGTGCGTTGAAGAATCGGTAGCTCGGTGTTTGTGTATGTTGTTAAAGAGTTCGCTGTTCGTTATTGGTGGGTAAGTTGTACCCCTGTTGTGTCTGTCTGTTCGTTATTTATAAAGTGCCCGCTCAGGACAGTCAGCATTGTAAAGTGGCTGTGCATTTTCATCGCTCGCCGGATAGCTCATCTCTCACTGACCATACCATGTCTGTCAATCACGCCTCATCATTTCGAAAAATACATTATCGTTTCGCATATTCCATCTATTCCCTTGCAACGCATACACACGCATGGGCACTGATATAAATAACTTTATTGACAATGAAAAAGCACACGTTGGGTATGACTGCGGCTCGGGGTTCGAATGAGATAGAGAGAGATAGAGAGCGTCTGGTCGGCTCTGAGCCAGGGAGAGAGGGGGCGGCTGCCGGCGCTCTGAGCCCGCCCACGGATGGCCGTCGCTGGGGCTACCCTCCGGCCAGTGCTAGGGATGAGGATTGGAGCTGAGTGGCCACTGAAGCCTCCGGTGCTATGGAGGCGAGCCGCGCTGCCCGGGCAGAAGGTATAATTACAGGCCAGCCCGACCGTCGGCCGGCGTCCTTTGCATAGGAATGGCGTATTTCGCTCGGAGGGCCGGTCGGAGCTGTGGGCGAGGTCGGGTTATCACAGCGTGTGGGTTTCGGTTACCAGGGACTCAGTGCTGGATGGTTTCGGTTAACGTTTGGTTTTAGTTACCATTTGGTTCAAGTCTTCAGTGTCGTCCAGTCACAGCCTTGCCGTTTGAGAGCAGCAATTGAGGCGCTGATTTTCACAGCCGGCCGGTTGATCCAGTTTTGTCTCCACGTACCAAGGATAGCCGCCGACTCAAACTTGATGAAGATATATGGGCGCAGGATTTGGCGCGCTACCTTCCCTCGGGCTTTCTGGCCTACAACGGGAAAAGATGGGCGCGATGCTTCTGATGTGTTTGGATCAGTACCTGGAATGCGAGGGGCGACTTTGGCTGACTGTTGTAACAATGGGTGACGGTCGACGGGACATCGCTCGTTATGGTGTCATCACTCGCTGGGAAGCCACCAGTGTTCACCTGCATTTGTTTTTATTGAAAAATAAGACTTCAGCCTTTGGTTTGGTCTGTTGGTCTATTTGTCACACCATGCAATAGTCACGGCGGCCTTTGGTTTGGTCTGTCTGCTGAGTTTGGCATAGCTACCGGCACGCAGCCGGTCACAGCGTGTCGCATAATTTGCGACCGGTGGATGAAGAGAGGTGACTGGTGACCGTGTATCGATGGGAGGCTGCTGGAGATGGGATAACGTGCTTTGAGCAATGAGCAGGGAACATGTGTGATAGGTGAGCGATGGTGTCATGAGACCTGGAAGGGGCAGGGAGGGCGGCCGGTCCGGCTATAGTGGACAGATCAGAGCGCTGGCAACCGCCAATGTACGGAAAACAATGGAGAGAAAGAGCGCACAAATGAGCGTCCGAACCCCTGCCGAGCACCGCCGACCAAGAAGACACGGGAGAATTCTGTAACAACTGGCATACATTATCAGCGAGACGGGCTGGACACCGTTTGATTATGGGACACCATCGCGGACGGGGAGCCCTATTAATGAGTCATGTATTGCACTCCTCGGCCGCTGTCGGGTGCCGCTCCCGACACGAAACTGAGCGCTCGGCGCGCCCTTCTGAGGTCACTGGCGCGGTGCGCAGCCGCGCGCGCGGCCCACCCGACACTACCTGACCTGACCCGACCGGCGGCGCGGCGCCGCCGCCACGCGCGCGACAGAGTAGAGAAGAGAGAGATAGAGAGGAAGATGATAGACTGAGAGGTAAATGTCAACAATGTGGAGACATGCACCACGTTAACAACGGCTTTGTAAATAACTGTAGATGTTGTCTATGTACAACACTATGTACATCGATATAATAAATTCAATATAAAAAGACGTGTCGGATGATAGACTATTGTTGAAATTGCCGGCTACGCAAGAAGAATTTAAGAGATCAAGAGGTGCTAACTTCCGAAGCGCCGTGGCTGCAGGGTGATTACAAGGCGTCAACTAGTGAACTGAAATGGACTCTCAGATGGCACACAATCGGCGACGTGTCGCCGCCGCGACTCTCGGCGACACAACACAACGGCGAGGGGCGGCGTGCCGGCGGCCGGCCAACTGAGGGCGCCAGCAAGGCACAACCGAAACGCGCCCGGCGCGCCGCCGCCAGCCCCGCCGGACACACACATATCACAAGGGCGGAAGGGGGCGGCGCCTAGAACAGCGCCGGGGTGCGGCGCGCGGCCAGCGCGGCGCCCGGCGCGACCGTTGAGCTGAACAGGAAGCTTGGCACTTGGTTCTGTCCCGGCCGGTGGAACAGAGACGACATTCTGCCGGCAGAAAAAGCGGGGAGCGGTCAGGGATGGACGCGCCGACTGGGCTGGCAGTCAAAAACAGGCGACAGAAGGATGGCGGTCAGAAATAGACGGACAGAAGGATAGCTCGGTAAAAACAAACGATCACGCTGGGTGCCCGTCCGAGACGGATGAACAGATGGGGTTGAGGCTAGAAACAGGAGATAACCAGAGCGTGAGTACAGCCGTGCCGTATTTGGACCTTTCCTGAATGACTACGATAGGTCAACTCACTACAACTGCAAACTAGTCAACAAATATGTCAAACCGAAAAACTAGCGGTCAACTTGCATTAACAATGCTCATCATCCAGAGTTTGCTCTGAGCCCTAGCTATGCATTAACCAGTTGACGAGTTCGTTTGTCGGATAGTTCGGCACTTCTCTCCAGTCAATTTGCAAATTGCCACGATATTCCAGTACTTCGTGGACTGACAGGTTTCCAGACAGCGCGCCAATGTGGTCCACCTCTCGACTCGAGGAGTTTCCGAACTGCCAGAGTTTTCATATTCCTTGTAACATTCATAAGATCAAAATAGACGGCACTAGCAGCCGTCTGGAAGAACTGCACAGCGCGGAGGGGTGTTTAATGTTTATAGGATTGGTGCTACATGAAAAGCGTTGCTGCTTCCAAAAACTCCAATTGGCAATGCGGGACAGAATTGGGACCGTGCATTGTAAGAAAGATCATGAAAATTCAGCATTGAGGTCCATAAATAGGAACTGTAGTCCATGACCTCGCGCAAATTCCAAAGGTCAGTCAGGCTCTTGCATTATTTTCACCCCGAGTAGCCGAACCGCGCTGGTGCCGTCCTCGATATGAAGAACAGCAGCAACACTGATCCTATAATACTTCGTTTTCCAATGCCTGATATCCTTCTCGAGAATGGAATCGCTATCTGGAATAACATCGAAATCCCACTGTTTTGAAAAGCGTCGAATTCGATAGCGTTGTTATTACAGGCTGCAACTTTAACTGCCTTCATTTCGAGATGAAGTCGTGGCAAATTATCCTCGGAATCGTCCAATCTCTCTGCTGCGCTGTATCTGAACACAGCTCAGACGAGCGTCAGTTTCGACCTTCTACACAGCACAAACAAGAACGGTCTCGATCGCCCTCCTTGCATAGGTAGTGGACAGGATGACAGTTGAAACCCTTTGCTACAGGGACAGTTCTTTCTTTCAGACAGAGAAGTTTGCTCTGCTATAGTAGCGCAAACTTCCCGGTCAGGGGACGCAGTGGCGTTGTAATAAATAATCAGGGTCTGCGAGTCGGTCCGCGAACGATTCCGATCCGAGGACACAACAATGTCGCAGTTGGCGGACAGCATCAATTCCAGGGCCAGTGAGCGGCACGTAGCGATGTCGCTATTCGCAGCAGTCCTCCACTGCAGTCCTCTATCGAGCCGGCAGAGAGCAGCAAGTAACGCCGGGCCCGGACGGATGTTTGCCGGCTGACCCTTTAGATATATCTGGCGGCGAGTGTTTGGCGGCGCCGGCTCCGATTGCTGCCCGTACTGCCAGCTCTTGACAGTGCATAAACAGGCGTGTCACGATGCTCGGCGGGAGACGACCGAGGACGCTTCGGCAGCAGACACACCAGGGGCGCCGACCGGCCGGCCGAAACAAGTCGGCCCCGCGCTGACATTGGCTGCGGCCCGCCGGCCGGAGCCGCGGCGTGGCTCCGACGGCTCGAATTTAAAGTTGGCTCAGAGTTGGACGGCCCGGATTTTATGAAACGCCGTCGGGAGAAAATGAAATGGTAGCGCCACTCGGCAAGTGCATTGGATGTGTAAAAACGGCGGATTCTTTGAAGTCGGCTCAGACGAACCCTTCAGAGGTGCAGCATAGCTGTTGGGTCAGCAGAAGTGCTATTCGTCTGAGAGACCACTCCATGTGTTATGCATCAGAGGAATTCAAGACCGTCGCTGTGAGTGAAATCAATGTCGCTTAGAGGTGCCGTGTCGTGCAGGACAGACAATGCGTCGGCCGTCAGGCTCGTCTTTATTCCGTCCTACCAGCCATCAGCTGTGCGTCTTTACCCGGTCTCACCAGCCGGCAGCCTCGTCTTTGCCCCGTCTTTCCGGCCGCCGGACTCGTCTTTACCCGGTTTCACCAGCCAGCAGCCTCGTCTTTGCCCCGTCTTTCCGGCCGCCGGACTCGTCTTTACCCGGTCTCACCAGCCGGCAGCCTCGTCTTTGCCCCGTCTTTCCGGCCGCCGGACTCGTCTTTACCCGGTCTCACCAGCCGGCAGCCTCGTCTTTGCCCGATTTTACCGGCCGTTAGACTCGTCTTTACCCCGTTGTACTGGTCAGACTCGTCGCTCGTCTTTACCGCGTGTTACCGGCCGTCACACTCGTCTTTACCCGGTCTTACCGGCCGTCAGACGTGCATCTCTGTGGCAGACGCCGTTCGTCAGACGTCCGTCTCGATGCTAACGGCGTTGACGTTGTTGTTGTGCCGCGGCGCGCAGTTGAGTTTGGTGCTGGCCTCGTGACCCAGCAAACCCTCCTCCAGGTCAATCTCCGACGATGAGTCGGATAGCGAGTCCTTCTTCACCTGCTGGCCTGTGAGAGGGAGGCGCGGCGTTATCAGTGAAAGTTTACTATCGCGCTCTAAGGCACTGGGTGGTTCATATCTGGGAATAATGAGAGTTGGCCAGGCAGACTGTCATCAGCGTAAGTTGTACTGGGATACGTGGTACCAGTGTCATCCGAGGGAATGACTAGCGATTTGGGAAGTCTCGGGCAACGATTCGAGTCCATTGTGAAATGCTGGAATGAGGAACGAGATACTATGGTGCAAATCGAAAAAGCCACGTTAGATTGTTAGAACGAAAGTGGAGT